TCATCTCTTTTCTTTCACTATTTTTTATTTTCAAATAGAGAGTATAAAAGTAAAGAATAACAGGTTGAATTTCAAGTTTTGGCTCGTTTTGATCAAGTCTAATTTATAATCACATGGTTCCCTAGGGATATAGGAATGGCGGTTCCTATCCCAAATCGTGTTGTTCGTTCTTGATTTCTTTAGATTTTATCATGGTCTGGCAAAAACCGGAAAGCACAATGACGACAAGATAAAAGTTTTATAAAGCAAATAAATCGGCCAACGGTTCGAGTAAAAGCTAGCAACGATTGTGAGATGCTCAATTCCCGAAAACCGACGGGATAGGCGCTTTTTATTCGATTTTCTGGAATTCGGTTTCTATAGAACTTACTCCACCTCATCATATTACCAGAAACAATATTGTTTCATAAGGTAACATGTACTGGATTTTGGTTCATAAGGTTGATTTTTGATTCGTTGCATCATTCATGTCTCTTTCCTGCTAAAATTCACTATTTTTATCACGTGTTTTCAAAAAAAAAAAAACTATACAACAATAACCTATACACACCATTACATTATCAAATTTCATACCTCACCTTCCTCCGGCCAACTAGCCGGGGCCACGCTAGTCTAGTTTAAAAGAAGAAAGCAAGGAGAGGTGGTGGTGGTGGAAGAGAAAGAGGAAAATCTAAACGATGAAATTTCTAGCATGGTATGTTCGAGGGTTTACAAATGATAGTAGGGTAAATATATTTGTATGACCTGAAATTTTCACAAATTAAACATCTTGGCCTATCTTTTCAATCTATAACATCTTGGCCTCAACTATGCATCAAAGTTACGAAATTGGCCAAATTGGAGATTTGACCGTTATCTTAGACGGACAAACGCATTGACTAACAATCAACGCGCCACGTCACTGCCAAATCAGCATATACCACTTAAAAAAATTGGTTTTTCCACCTATGCCCATTTATCCTTTTCAAAATAATAACGGGCGTTCCTTTTTTTTTTCTTCTTCTTTTGTTCAAAATAAAAAAAAATGGTAACAGGTGAAAAAACCAAAAAATTTAAGTGGTATGTGCTGACTTGGCAGTGACGTGGCAGGTTAACCGTTATTCAACACGTTTGAGCGTCCAAGATGACTGTCAAATCTCGGGTTTGACCAATTTCTTAACTTGCATATTCGAGGCCACATTGTTATAAATCGAAAAAATTGACCAGAATGTTTAAATGGTGAAAAGTTCGGATCATACAAATATATTATACCGCTTTACTTAAAGTTATTAGACATAATAATATTGAGTTAGTAGGTATATTAGAACCCCATAATAGAGCTAATAAGGCAGATAAAGTTTTGAAGAAAGGTTTCCATATTAGGAAACAAAAGTGATTAATGATGGAACTGGGTAGGAAAAGTTTGGCTTGTATGGCGAAAGGAGGTCTGGGATAGAGTTAGTAACCAATGGTTACTGACTTATCAGTAAATGCACGCACACCGTAGATCTAGGGGGCGGATCCATCATGTGGCTGGGCTGAATGTGGGGTCCAGAAGGGCATTTTTATCTGTTTATAAATTTTAATTTTAATTTTTATTATATTACAATTTTAATGCCTGTTTTTTCAAAAAAAGGAGATCACTTTTAATGATTTGTATTTTCAAAGGAGGAGAGAGAATCATTTCTCTGCAACTTTCTTTTCTCTTTCTCCCTTCCTTCTATCTTCCATTTTCTCTCCCAATCTCTTTTTCAGATCCTTTCTCTTTCTTTCTTCCTTTTTTCTCTCCAATATCTTTTCCATATCTAGATCTGCTTCCTTCTCTTCTTTTTCGTTTTTTTTTCTCCAGCAATCGACGAAGAAAAATTGCAGCCACCCACTTTTATTGTGTTTTTTCTCTTTATCAACTCGATGGCCTCAATTTCGGTCTTTCTCCCTTTTTTGGTGTTTGGTGTTCTTGATTGCGGAGGAAATGAGACGAGATAGAAGATGAGTTTTTTTCCCTCTCCTTCCTTCTGTTTTTTTTTTCTTTTAAGTAATATATATTGATATTAACATACTATACCATAAGGTATTGTGTGGTAACAAAATATATATTGATATTACTACACTATACCATATGGTATTGTGTGGTAACGAAATATATATTGATATTACCGTATGGTATTGTGTGATATTACCACACTATACCATATGGTATTGGGTGGTAACGAAATATATATTGATATTACTACACTATACCATATGATATTGTGTGGTAACGTAATATATATTGATATTACTACACTACACCATATGGTATTGTGTGGTAACGAAATATATATTGATATTACCGTATGGTATTGTGTGATATTACCACACTATACCATATGGTATTGTGTGGTAACGAAATATATATTGATATTACCACACTATACCATATGGTATTGGGTGGTAATGAAATATATATTGATATTACCACACTATACCATATGGTATTGGCTGGTAACGAAATATATATTGATATTACTACACTATACCATATGATATTGTGTGGTAACGAAATATATATTGATATTACCGCACTATACTATATGGTATTGTGTGATATTACCACACTATACCATATGGTATTGTGTGATATTACCACACTATACCATATGGTATTGTGTGATATTACCACACTATACCATATGGTATTGTGTGATATTACCACACTATACCATATGGTATTGTGTGGTAACGAAATATATATTGATATTACCACACTATATCATATGGTATTGGGTGGTAACGAAATATATATTGATATTACCACACTATACCATATGGTATTGGGTGGTAACAAAATATCTATTGATATTACCACACTATACCATATGGTATTGGGTAGTAACGAAATATATATTGATGTGACAAATTTTTTTCATACCATATGGTATGCTCTTATTTAATACCAGTCAATACCATATGGTATAGACTAGTAATAACTGACAAATTTTTTTGTGTCCAAAAAATATCAAAGTGGATATCATTTTGAAGAGCACAATTAATATGATCTAACTGTGCAAAAAAAAAGTTAAATTCCGGCTTAAAACGAGTGAGAAATCGTCTGTTAAAGATTAAAGGAAGGAAAATTAAAGGTTTTTCGAGGAGAGAGAAAGAGACGCTGATATGGTCCGGTCAAAAGCCAGCGTCAGCAATAAATAGGGGTAAGTGCAATTTTACCTTACTGCCCTTTCGCATTTTATTTAAATAAAAAAGGGAACTGACACGTGGGGACAGGAGAAGGGGTTACTGATGTGATATGACCCAAGTACGCAGCTTCAACGATCTTTTTATGATTTTCTGATGTCGCCTTTCTTGAATTCGAAAAATAAAGATAGACGCGGAATCAATCGGACAATCCCAATCGTGATGAAGGGCAATTGGTATATGAAACCAATCGGACAGCACCAACTCGTGGAAAGGGGCAATTGATATAGGGTAGAAGCTCGCCACAACTAGACGCGTTCTCTAGTTGATAAGAGACACGTGAAACCTCTGGAGCACTCTCGACAGAAGCTTGCACAAAGAACCAGTTCGTTTGAACTTGAAACTTGAAAATTGATTTATAATAGAATGAATTACAATGAGGGGCTCATCCTCCTTATATAGGCAACGAAAATCCAATCCTAAACTAAGAAAGAAAGCAAACAAATGACCAAAACCTACAATTAAAAGGAAAACAAAACCTTGAAGGAAAAATAAAAGGAAAACACAATCCTTAAAAGACAAGGAAAAGACCAAGTCAACAACTCCTTAAAATCTAGCCTTCATATCCACCTTCCTTGAAGCCCAAGTTGCCTCCATGCTGGTCCACAAATTGTAGAAGTATAATGGGCTTCCCATGATGTTGGTCCATGTCCAATTGAGCATAATGTCGATCCAAATAAGCAGCAAATTCCTCTCTTAATCTCTTGGCTTGTAGACGAGTAATTGGACCTTCGTGTGATGAATTAGACTTGGATTTTGGTTCCTGACCCATCAGTTACTGACCTGATCTGCTCCCGCGAAAGGATATAAAGGTATCTCTGGTGCATTGGTCGGATGAGTTTATACAAGTTCAAGTGGTGGGGGGATTCCACATATGCTGCTACCTATAGGTAAATAACCAACATATCAATTTTGAAAAGTTTAGGTATTAAAACGTCATAGATAAAAAAAAATTAGGTAAAAAATATAAATGGTCAATGATATATTCATTCAAAATAAATTGTAGGTATCAAATTATAAAATATAAAAACTATATGTATTGAACTATAATTTTTCAATAATCCATAAATGGAATCTGCTAATCCAATTGGATTTGTATCAAATAAATTGAATTAATTGGATATTTAAGTGGATGTACTATATGAATACAAAATTGTCATCTCTAAATTTAATCCATGCCTAACTTAATTATTACCACAACCGACAATTTATAAGCATCAATGAATCCGAATTCACAAAAGAATATGAAGGATTTCCCCCCAAAGTACACGTTACTACAAACAATTCTCATAATACAATAGTACACGTTACTAAAAAAATTCTCAAGATACACATATTTTGGGAACTAAAGCGATTTGCCAATTAATCACTTAAAACCTCAAGAATCTATGACAGATAGCACACAGATCGTTTGAGACCTCAGCGTTCTGACACAGATTACTTGGAATCTTAGCAATCTGTGATAGTTCGCTTCAGACCTCAGCGATCAGTGTGTTATATACTAACAAAAATCAAATGATAGCAATTCTGCGCCAGATTATCTTATCTACTTTTGTCGTCAAATAAGGTCAATTCTTGCATCAAATTAGACATATTTTTATTTTACATAACTTTTCAAGATCTTGTCGCAAAATTTACGGACCTTACACTACAATATCTTTGAAGGAGCAAATTTTTATAAGAAATTTTCAAAATACAATAGTCCCTAAAAATCTATGCAAAACTAAAAATTTACGATAATCAAATGACAGAGCACAAAATAAAAACCAAATAAAGACCGTACAAAGTTATTCGAAATAAGAAAATAGCTTATTTCTAGAAATCAATGCAGTAATGATGGTCTTCAAGTAGTCCACTTGTTTTTCTTTAGTCACCAAACGACCCCTAATCTCCTCCAACTCGCCACCACTCTCCAGCCTCGCTTTCAACCCCTCAATCTCCCTCTTCATCCCTTCAATCAACACGTCCTTCTCCTTGACAACCTCCTCCTTCTGCACCAATAGCGATTCAACACGCCACTTCTCCTGAGTCCGCTCCACCAATCGCCTCCTCAGCTTCTCGAAATCGACCACCACTTCCCCGTTGATCCGATCGTAACGGTTCCACACCGTCTTGATCGGCGGCGGCGTCACTCCGTACTCCCACCAACCGAACATGTCGTTCAGCTTGGAGAGCTTGCTGGTCCCCACCACCAGAGCCTTTGAACTCGAGCCGCTGTTGTAGTACTGAACCTGGTAGCCTTCCCGATTCACCAACAGCTGGGAATTGTATAGATCGGTATGTAGTTTTCTCAACGTCCGGCCTTCGATCACGACCCCGAACAATTGCAGCTCACCGTAGTAGAGCTGTTTTGCTCTTGTGCAGCATGCTAAGGGAATGGTGGTACTGCCGTCGGCGGCGTTGACTGGGCATGTAACGGTGGCAAGAGGTTTCCAGTCGCGGAAGCAGGGTGTCGGATTGGTGAGATCGTTGCCGGCGTCGAGGACTACGATTGTACCCTGGCCGGTGCCATAGAGGAACAGGTTGTTGGACTTCACCGTGAAACATGACATTCTTCCTGAGCAATTCTTTACTTTGAGCTGAGCAATATAATTTGCGAGGCCGTCTATCTCTTTTTATATACACAAAGTGTACGGGCTTTTCACTGAGAAAACAAAGGATTCATAGTCCGATCATGAAACTGAAAGAAATTTTCATTTTCCACAACGTAAAGTAAAGTAAGTGATCCTAGGCGGCGAACTTATCTTGGGCCAAGGTTGGGGTGTTTTTATTAGCATAGTGTTAATACTAACACAATTCAATTCAATAGGGATCTTTTGAATAAGGATTTTTAATGAGAGATTTTATCATAACGGATTCTGTGACTCATTTGGAAAATGGAACATGTTTGATTGGAACATAGCACACGTCACTTTTCGGGCCCTTAGATCTGTACAGACCAATATGACGGTTAAAAAGTGGGAAGGGCTTTTAATTAATGATAGAGGTAGTTTGGGTATTATGAAAATTACGAAGTATACAAACTGGACTTACAAACAGTAAAACCATACAAACATACAAACTAGAACGACAAAACGTACAAACAGATTTACAAACATTACGAAACATACGAACTATAAAAACAATACAAACTAGACCGACAAACATTACAAAACATACTAACAGTACAAAATGCTACTACTTACAATACAAAACAGTAAACTTGTATTACAAATCAAAGAATACAAAGTATACAAACTAGATAAACAAACATTACAAATTACAATGTATACAAATTAGTCATATGGCCATTACAAACATAATAGATAAAAATGACAAACTAGAATGATAAACGATACAAACAGAATTGATACAAAATCACAAAACATACTTACAAAAATTACAAAAACGTCCGACAAACATAAAAAACAGGCACAGTCGCCGAAAAACCTCGCATCCCCTCTCCGCCACCACCGGAAAAATTCGCCGACGACGAAACACACACATACTCTCTCTCTCTCCCCCCCCCCCCTGCGCGAGGGAATTAGGGGAAATTTTTTCCCTGGCCACCTCTATTTCCCAGGCCACAGAAGAAGGAAGATGGGAGGCCGGCGAAAGGCAGAGGAACTACTAGCCGGCGGTCACCTGCGGGATAGAAAGGAAGATTGGAGGTCGGCGGAAGGCGGAGGAACTGCTGGCCGACGGACACCGGCGGGACGGGGAGGAAGGCAGTGGGAGGCTTCAATTATTGTTAAATATATTATTACCAACAAAACAGAGTTGTACAGATGCAAAAGATCACACTTGATAATGGTTCAATTATTAATTCTGTAGACTGTTTGTGAGTCGTGTATGGACCCGTTCATACTTGTAATTAGAATACATAAAAATAGTATACTAATTATGGTTATTTTTAATATTTTACATAATGAGAAAATATTAAATGGCCTATGGGCATGTATTATGTGATGCGTTATAGTGTTTTGTTAGTATTATTAGCCTAAAATTAATATTTTGTTAGCAGTTTTGTTAGTGATTTTGACTTGACAATATGATATTGACTGAGAAGAGATATATAGCGGTCAACATCCAATTTAAAAAATTTTGACTAATAAATTATATTTACCTAAACCTAAGTAGACCCATTGATTATGGGTAGGGTATGGGTGACGTATATATGGGGTTTGGAAGTTTGTAGATGAGTTTGGTAGGGTATAGATATTTACTTTCATAATCTAAATGTGTATGAGTTGGATATGGATACCTATTTATTCGAGGGTGTTTTAATTACACATATAAAAATTAGACCTATTTGTAGATACCTAACCAAACATTCCATGTATAATTGTTGAAAATTCTAGCCCGGGTGAAAAAAAAACTCTAGAGAGAGAATACAAACAGGAACTCGCTTAAATTTCACGCCTTCAAATCCTATATTGAAAAATGATTACTTTCTAATCAGTAATAACCATATATAATTTAAGGTTATAGGTATAATATGCAATGTTGTCAGAACCGAACCGGAGTACGACCCGGAAACGTGAACGGCTCGGTCTTTAGTGATCCAGCCGGCATTAGACCGTTTAAAAACCGTTTGAGAACCGGTACCTAATAAACTGTCATCTGTATAAATAGTGGACACTTCTTAATCATGGTAAATCACAAGTAAATTATTCTCTTAAACAATTCTAGAACATCAGTACCGAAAGATCTAAAGTCCCCACTGAATGTAAAGGTGAAGGCAGAGTTATGAGCTTTAGTTAAGAATTGTCAGCTCCAGCTCAAAATAATAACTCGTCAGCTCAAGCATAACTAATATTCATAGTTTCCTACATTTAGCAACAGCTCGAGAGACCAAAGGGAGCAATTTGCCAGATTTGAGAAGCTGAAACACGCACCATCAACAGGGTTTGATCACAAGAACACTAACCTTTCACTATCATCTACGAGAAGCTGATGCGAAGAACAGGGGAATACCACGAGAAGCTGATTCGTTCTCTCTATCTGTTTCTTCTGTTTCTTCTCTGGAGGAGGTAGAAGAAGAAGAACAGGGGAATACCACGAGAAGCTGATGCGACGGCGACGGCGACGACGCTGGGGAAGATGGCGCCGGCACTGGAGAAGATGGCGATGGCGATGGCGACGGCGCTTCTTGTCTCCAGGGCAGGCTCTCCACGAAGAAGAAGATGGGGGAAAAAATTTGGGAATTAGGGTTCTGCACTTCTGCCCGACCCCGAGTCCCGACCCACCTTCCCCTTTATTTTTTCTGTCTTTTAGTTTTTTTTTTTTAATTACACCAACCGGCCGGATGCAAAAAACCGGACGACCGGCTCGAGCGGTTCGAGCGGTTAACCGCTTCGGCCGCTCGCCGGCCGCCCCAGAGAACCAGTCCGGCTAAATAGCTGATCCGAGCCGGTTTTGAGCCCGGTTGGCGGTTTTGGCGGCCCGGCCGGCCGGCTCGGCTCGGTTTTCACAACACTGATAATATGCCTCTCTACTATGATGTTTTATCAAACATGCCCATTTACTATTTTTTACATCAAATATGCCATGTACTTTGTAAAATTTATCAAACATGCACTTTTGTTAAAATTTTCATTCAAAAACCGTTAATCAACGCTGAACTTTGGTTTGGGCGACACAAATGTCTAAAATATCCCTAATAATTTTACTTTAGAATTTTTTTGATTCTTTTGGATAGCCAAATAATTCAAATAATTTCACTTTGAAGACACCGGAGAAATAAAACGGGGGACAAAACTGATATTTCCCTCCCATTTGCCGATGTCGGATCGTCTAAATCTCGGTTCAACCATGATTGATGATTTTTTCAATGAAAATTTTAGGAGAAGGGCATGTTTAATAATTTTGTCAAAGTACAGGGTCATGTTTGATCTAAATAATAGTAGAGGGGCATGTTTGATAAAACGTCCTAGTAGAGGGGAATATTATACCTATAACCCATATATATTTTTTTAATTGGACTCAACATTGAGCTGGAAAAATTAGTAGTTCATGGTTCAAATTAAATGAAGTTGGATGGTTGAGATGCACTTAGTCAACTGATCTTAGTCCGTCATGTTCCTGGCCCTCAAGTTCATGAACAATTGCCACGGGGCCTGGAAATTGCTTTTGCTGCCAAGAGGAAGAAGACCGCAAGCAGAGAGGTGGTGGAGAAGAGATGTGATGATGACATGTCGCTGCTCCCGATTTGGTACCCAGCTCAAGCACCCCCACCGCGTCAAGCTTCTTCTAGTGTTATGTTAGATTGGAACGACGAAGAGGCTATTAAATCATAGATCTTGGCAACTAGCACAGCTGACAAAAGCCTCCCGCAGCTGAAACCATTCAGGAGGAGCTAACTACTACAGTTCAACTAGTTCTGTTAGCCAACGTCATCCTCGGTCACTTGCTTTCATTGGATTCAAAGTTGAAGAACTCACTCGATTGAAGGCATTATTGTAGCCTTCTGCCACTTCCACTCATGCAAATTCACAATCTTACACTATTGTCACTAGAGACACATCCACGAAAGGTATCATGACTTTTCCCAAGCCACAATCAAGTAGTGTGTGTGGGTGTTAGACACAAGAGTAAGTGATCACATAGTATGTTCTATCAATATATTTCTCAGATGAAGAACAGTTAGTGATATTTCAGTTACTATACCTAATGGTCAGCAATGTGCAATCACACATGTAAGAATTGTTGATCTTCCATGTGGAAATCTATTGACCAACGTCCAGTTAGTTCCTTCATTTTTATACAATCTTATCTCAGTTAGCTCGCCAAAAAAGCCCTATCTTACTACTTTTTCAATACACTTTTTGCTTTATTCGTACCTCGTCTCTCGATAAAGGATTGGTTTAATCCCCGTAGATATAGGCATTTATTTGCTTGGAGATTCAAGTTTTTCTGGAGAGAATTGCAAATCTAAAGTTATTGAAATGAGCACAAGTCAAAACCCCAACCTTTGTCAAAAGAGATTAGGTTATCTTTCTTTACCTAGACAGTTAAAAAGATTTGTAATGAAATAGATACTATTGCTCACTTTGATTGTGATGTTTGTCATATATCCAAACAGAAAAGGTTTTCATTTCCCATAAGTACTTTTAGATCTAAAACATCATTTGTTTTAGTCCATGTTGATATTTTGGGTCCACTGGATATTGTTTCTCACGATCGTTTTCAATACTTCTTAATCATTCTTGGTGATTACAATAGATGCACTTGGTTATACTTATACCTAATGAATCATAATCTAGATCACTGCTTCAATCCTATTGTTCAATGGTGAATTCACAATTTTACTAAAAGGTGAAAGTGATAAGGTCTAATCATGGCCAAGAGTTCAAAATGACTGAGTTTTATAAGGAGCATGGATTCATTCATGAGCAAAGTTGTGTATATACTGCACAGCAAATGTAAGAGTTAGGAATGGCAACGGGTCAGGGGCGGATAGTGCATATTTGTTACCCTAAATTAGTTCTGATTTTACCCATAGCCGTACCCACATAAGAATCGGGTACAAAATCAAAACCATTTCTATACCCAGTCAGGTTTCGGGTACCAC